ACACACACACACACACACACACACACACACACACACACACACACACAATGGAATATTACCGAGCCATATAAAAGAATGAAATCTTGCCATTCAGGACAACATGGATGGACCTAGAGGGTATTAAGCTAAGTGAAGTAAGTCACACAGAGAAAGATAAATACCATATGATTTCACTTATAAGTAGAATCTAAAAAAGCAAACAAAACAGACTCTCAAATACTAGTCCGAATGCCTAGTATCAAAAAGAAGTAACAAGTGTTAGTGAGGATGTGGAGAAAAAGGAACCCTTGTGCTTTTGTTGGTAGGAATGTAATTTGGCACAACCACTATGGTTGCGCCAAAACAATATGGAGGTTCCTCAGAGAGAGACAGAGAAGAAACTGGTGGTTGCCAGAGGTGGGGGATGGGTGAAATAGGTGAAGGGGAATAAAGAGATACAAACTTCCAGTTATACAATGAGTCATGGAGATGAAAAGCACAGTATCGGCAATACCGTCAATAATATTACAACAGTGTTGTATGGTGACAGATGGTGACTACACTTAGAGCAGTGAGCATTTTGTAATGTATAGAATTGTCAAACCCTACATTGCATACCTGGAACTAATGGAACACTGTAAGTCAATTATACCTCAACAAACAAAACCAAAAACCACATACAACACAGAAAATCACATTTTCTCCTGTATATTACACTTACTTCTTCTGTCCCAAGACATTCCTACTAATGAACATATGACGTATTAAATACATTCAATGAAGTTCCTATCCCAAAGTGTTCAGAGGCCAGAAACCTCTTAAAGAGGTTGTAGAAGGAATTAAAACATTCCATGGAGATTGGCTAGTAGAGTGTTTCGCATAGTGTGATACATAAATTTAGGTGGTAGACAATATTTACTTTAAGCAATGTATTTATCTTCATGGACATTATAAAAATTATAAGCCAACAAACCCATTTACAGTAGACAATATAAAGTTTCCTTTTAAAATAAAGCAGGCAGCATACAGATAATGCAAACATTGTGAAAATGGTACTCAGTGACTGAAGTATGGGAAAAATGAACTAAGAACACTACCTCTAACCTGCAGTTTTATGAGTTTCATTCTACAAAATTTCTAGTTTACTCTCCCAACTTCCTCACGCTATTATTTTTTAGTAAAAGCACTATCAACGCTGCTGTGATTTCTGAGATTGCTATCATCAAGATTACAAAATACAGGTCAATTTTTAACCAGAACATAGTTAACACAGTAAACAAAGACTTAATCAGCTTGCACCATGCCTGTGTGGGGATGGAGAAAAAGGCTTGAGAGATAGTTAGGAAATGGGAGAGACTGACAGTATGAATGTGGACTGAAGGAGGAGGTGTCAAGGACTTGCTGATGGATGGATGGTGATACTGTTCAGTCATGAGATACAGAGCACTGGGAGAGGATTAGATTGCACAGCAAAGGCCAAGTTAACTCAGAGAGGTGCTTATGAGAAACCCCTGGATGTTCCTGAGGCAGCAGCTGGATATGTGGGTCTAGACTCAGGAGCGATCTGGACTACACATCCTGCATTTGGAAGCCAACAGTATATACATTATAATTAAAGCCCTGCAGGGGATGAGATTTCCAAGGAGAGAGTAATAAGAAAAGAGCACTGCTTATTTCTAAAAATTTTTACCATTACCCAAACTAATTAAATGGCTTACATAAATAACACTTGTGTTAAATCTGTTTTCCATGCTGACAAGTTTTTAAAACCCTGAACAGTTCTTTTCACTTTTGCTATTAAACCAATCTGGAAGTTCAACAAGGGTTTCTATGTGAGGTATGCTTTTAAATCTCCTATAATATATACACAGCGGCTTCAAGTACATTTAAACATATTCCCAAATGCTCCCATCTTAAAAACTCCATGCCCACCACTAGTCTCGCCTCTCTCCCTCTTCTCAAACTTCAAAGAACTGTCTCCATTTCTTCTTTTCAACAAACTCTCCAATCCTCTTCAGTCTGGTTTCCTCCTCATCACTCCCCTAAAACTCCTGGCAAGAATGTTTTGACCTCCATGTATATCCAAAGGAAGTTTTTAGTTTTTCTTTCCTTTTTTTTAGTTTTATTTAAATTCAATTAATTAACATACAGTGTATTATTAGTTTCAGAGGTAGAGTTCAGTGATTCATCAGTTGTATGTAACACCCAGTACTCATTACATTACATGCCCTCCTTAATGCCCATCACCCAATTTGATCTCTCAGCAGCAATTATTCCTGTTAACCACTCCCTCCAGTTTGTATCTGCTCAAAGTATTCTCCTCCTTTGACTTCTGTGACACTATGCCATCCTGGTTTTCTTAATAGCCTCTTAGCTATTCTTTCCTAGTCTCCTTTGCAGACTCATTCTCCTCTAGCCAGTCAAATATTTTCAAGCTTCCATCTCAAGCAGTGGTTCTAAACTGGGAATGCTTATGCCCAACAGGGGACATGTGGAAATGCTGCGCCCGTCCATTTTTGTCACAAACTGGGGATTGGGTGCTACTGGCATCTAGTAGGTAGAGGCCAGGGATGTTGTTAAACAGTCTACAATACACAGGACAGTTCCCCCTAATAAAGAATTATCCCATTCAAAATGTAAATAGTGCTGCTGTTGACACTGTGCTAAAGCCATTTAAAAATTACTTGAAATTTTAAAGTTTATGTATATTCTAAAGGAAAACATACATAATACAAAGTGAAACATAAATTCCTTTACCTTCTGAACTCAGAATCAGCCAGCAATTCTTCCACAATAGTTCTCTTCCTTTGTTTTTTGGGAATTCGTGAATGGTAGAAGTCAGCTGGATTGTCAACAATGGTTCCAATCTATGAGCAATTGATTGAAATAAGTCATGAAATACTTGAATGGTAAATTGCTTTCATATTTCAGGGTAGCTCTAACAAAGTCTATTTATAGAAAGGAATGGAAAACACAAATGATATCAATACTAAAGTCAATTTGCCATTTTTTAAAGCAAAAATAAGTCATCTATTCAATTGGCACTGGGTCCTACTAATGACATTTCATTAGAATTTACAATAAAAGGCCAAAAATCCTTTTATATAATTTAGTGCTAGGCAGGACAGTAAATTCTGGATGAACAGTGTAACTAGAAAAGTGGGACAGAGAATATAAATTCTTTTTTTAGTCTCCCAATTTAGTAAAATTGACACATAAACTCTACTATACACCTATTTGGTCTCCTAGGTCATCATAAATGCTACCAGCATAGAACCTTCTTAGTAACCACTCTGCATTTGTTCCTACATTCAACCAAGTAAAATTTACAGGGTCCACTATGTGCCACGTACTGTGCTAAGTGTTTGGGAAATAAAGACAAAGAATATCTGGTCCCTGCCAGCAAGGAGCTCGTAGTCTTAAGGAAAATCCAGTCAAGTAACTGAAAGATTAAAGCATAACATAATTATTATGCTAAACAAAACACTATAGACGCCCTCAAAAAAAAGTGACCAACTCTACCTAAGGGAGGTCAAGGTTCCTCCAAGTGTGTTGGAGGGCTATGTGACAGAAGAGCTGGTGAGCTGGTCTGACTGCAGACTGTATAGACTCTATCCTACAGGTCATAAAGAATCACTGAAGATATCACTGAATGTTATCTGTGATATCACTGAGCAGAGGTGTATCATGAACAGACCGCCTTTTTTAAAAAAGAACAGATAACTGGCTACAATGCAGAGGATGGACTAGAAGGGAGAGCAAACCTGGAGGTAAAGGACTATTAGACTAATTCAGGTAAGTGACAAGAAAGAACAGAATGAAGGTGACAGCTACCAGAGGGTGAATCATCTGGATTTTCATCTGGAAACACTTTGAAAACCAACTTTTAACTTATTTTCAGCATTTGCCTGGGGATGCCTCTTTATCTGGAGAAGAAGAGTTTGGTGCAAATGTTCCCTATTTCCTCCTCCATCATGTAAGGCTTCTTGCTGTTAGGCTAATACTATTCATATATGGTATACCCAACTTAGAGGTTCAGTAACTTTTAGAGGTATGACCTGGAAACTTAGTTACCATCTGCAACACCTTCTCTCTATATGGAATGCCGTTACAAGCTGGTGGCCAAAAGGTTTTCTGAATTGGGTTCTGCCCATTATTATACAGCCTCAGCAGATGTGCCCTATAAATATTCACCTATTTAAAGAGTAAACAGTAAGAACACTATAATGCCTTCCAAACTAAAATCCACACATCACCGCCGTTATTGTTTGTTTCATACCTGGAAATACTTGGGGAAGCCATCCCTATCATTTTTCTTGTAAAACCTTTTTGGGTCCATGCTAGCTCTCATCTTCAGTGCTTTGAGATCATTTTTTAGTTCATCTGTCAATTCTGGAGCTTTCATACCAAACCAGCCATCACCTGCTGTTTTCTGTCGTTCTTTCTGAAATTCAGATTTCAAAAATAATTAAACAGAAAATTCTAACTTTAATAAGCAATGTATAAACTATACCTCATTCCCTCCAAAATTATATATACAAAAAACTTCATGAATTAAAAACAAATGAGGTTACTTAACAGAATGTATTAGTCCCCAGATTCACTTTTCATAAAAGAAGTTAAATCACAGTAAGTGTTTTCTTTGGTCAATTAGGCACAGTATTATCAGTTTCATAAATGAGGGCTCCTTAAAATTTATTTTTTCTATCTTAGTAAGAACTGCTAACTTGCAGGGGCGCCTGGGTGGCTCAGCCGGTTAAGTGCCTGCCTTCAGCTCAGGTCATGATCCTGGGGTCCTGGGATCGAGCCCCGAGTCAGCTCCCTGCTTTGCAGGGAGTCTGCCTCTCCCTCTCTCGCTGCTGCTCCCCCAGCTTGTGCTCTCTCCCTCTCTCAAGTAAAATAAATAAAAATTAAAAAAAAAAAAAAAAAAAAAGAACTGCTGACTTGCTGGGAGAACAATACACAGCTTCAATTTTTATTGTGCAATATAGCCTACACAAGAGATAATGTATAAAAACATTTTCAGTTCTGGAGCTTATATTTAAATATTAACAATTTTATTCAGTCACCACGGTGACTCAGTCACTCCAACAAGTCCAGAAATCTGTATTATTTCTACAATTTAAAAAAAAGTTATATATTTTTAGAAACTCCTAGCAAGTTATTTACTTAATTTTATTTTTATTTCATGCATACATTATGGAGTGTCTACCATGTGCCAGCATATTCCATATTAGTGATGAGAGATTACTGGTGCACCACCCTCAAATTTCCTCCAAGCTCTCTTAATAACTTCTTTACACTTATTAGTTGAAATGGCAGATGGAAACAATCTCCTATTTTTACAAAAGAAAAGAGTTTCCTATCCTCTCACTGGGCAGACTACAGAGACCCGGGTTTTTAGATGGCTACATTAAGGTCCCTACAAAGGCCTGCAACGGAGCTCTTAGCTCTTGGTTAACAGTAGCTATAAGCCAAGAAGTATGGACAGTGACCTTATATGCTGGCTGTCACTGTTTTAAGAAAGGGGGGGGAGCTGTTCTCTATGTGCACCACTTGGTGCACTTTCACTTTGTGAAAATCTATATAAAATGTGTTTATGGAACTATATTTTATGGGCCCTTAAATCTGTGATAACTTTCTTTGCAAATATATATTTTTTAAGATTTTAAATTATTTTTTAAAATTTAATTTTTTAAAATAATAATCTTTACACCCTATGTGGGGTAGAACTCAAAACCCTGAGATCAAGAGTCGCATGCTTTACTGAATGAGCTAGCCAGGTGCCCCGAAAATACATATTTTTAAATTATACAACCATGTTGTATAAGCTGAATGTATATAGTCAAACACACCTCAACAATCTAAATTATGAGAGTCACTATACTTACTCTGCGTTTTTTCTGAAGTTGATGCTTTGATTCACTATATGGTGGGACACAGTAGTTTTTTTCAAAATCAGGAGTAATGATGGCTTTCTGCAAAAGCTAAAAAATATTAAAGTGGTTTTAAGATAGTATCAGAATACCATATAATTTCTTCCAACATCTTTTGCCTTATAAGAGAAATATCTCCCACACTGAAGACTACTCCAAATATATTAACCCTTTATACACAACCATACTACTGCAAAGTTGTTTCGGTCCTTAGTCTGTAAATTATATCACAATAAAAATGCTTTAGAAGGCAAACTGAAGGATTATTTTAGGAAACTTCATTCATCTTAAATTTCTTTTTCTAAACTGAATCAGCACATATCAGATTTACATTAATGTGTCTAACTTGTATTTATTGGCTTACTAACCAGCCACTTGCACCAAACAACTGGAAAATAAAGTCAACAGGAACAAACGCCAAAATGGCTCTTGAAGTCTCTGAAAACAAACAAACAAACAACCCTAACTAGTCTTATTAATAAGTTCTTTTGATGTTGGTAAAACAGCTTCTTCTGATCTAAGGAGACTGTATTATTAACACGTACAGTGATACAGATTCGATTAAACAACATATACATCTATCTAGATAAGTCTTTTTGCAATTCAACAAGATATCTCAGATGCTCTTTCAGTATCAATTCACACATAGATCAACTTCATTCCTTTTAATAGCTGTTACGCACTAACATTTTTCTTCTGACATTTAGTTTGTCTCCATCAAACCTTTTTCCATTGAACACTGTAAACATCATCTCTGCACACTTGTGATTATTTCTGTAAGATTCCAAAATGCATCACTTAAATATTGACAGGTACTGCTAAATTGCCTTGCATTCAAGTAATGTTAAGTCCTACCAACGGTTAATCAGTGCCCTTTTTCTTTACGTTGCCACCAGCCCGGGGTATTATCCTTTTGTGTGTTCTCACTGGTGCCTCATAGCTGTTTTCCTTTGTTGTTGATCATCTTTTTGTGTATTTATTAGCTCTGTGTAAGTGTTCTGTGGGAGAACACTTGCATTCACAGAACACTGGTATTTTGTATCTTAGTGGTATTAACCTATGGTCTTTTACTTGTCTTTGTTAAGGTGTTAATTGTGAAAGTTTTAAAATTTTGTGTAGTCAAACCTGTTAATCTTTTCCTAAATGACTTCTGCATTCTGTTTGTATAGGATGAACAAATATTGTCATAATACTGTTTACGTCACTAAAAGGTCTTCAGGATAATTCATCATCTCCCATAGGGTATGAACTGAAGAAGACTGCTCCTTGGCCCTCAAAACAGTTCACAGAAATACTAATTTGGTCAGTAGCATTTGAAATTATCAATTCAGAAATCCCCAAATCCCCTAGAAGTTTCCAGATAGTAGAGAGGCAGTCTAGACTTTCGAGCTTGATATTTATTTAGTAGATTATTAAGAGCTTTAGGACAGTGGTTCTCAACTGGGAGCAAATGGCAATGTTTGAAGACACTTCTGGGGTGTATGTGCAGAGGGGTGTGGGGGGGTGGATGCTATTGACAACTAGTGGGTAGACATGAGGGATGCTGCTACATATCCTACAATGAACAAGACAGCCTCCCACAACAAAGAATCATCCAGCCCAGGTTGAGAAATCCTGTTTTAGGAATATAAAGCTAAAAAACAGTAAAATGACAATTATAATATGATCAAAAATGAGTCAGATCTATACTTGGTGTTGCAGAAGCACAGAGGAGGTGGTGGAGAGGACTAGAGTCAGAGAATGTTTCCCAAAGGCAGTGATCTATGATCTCTGCACTGGCCTGGGAAAGAGCAGGGTATGTTCAGGGAACTACAGTAGTCTTCAGTGGTAAGAACATAGCAGGTGGACAGAGCTGAAGGAACAGAAGCACCTTGAACGTTCTGAGGGACTTAAACAGAAGAATATCATAATCAGGTTTGTGTTTCATTTCGTTTTGTTTTGAAGTAATATCTACCCCTAATATGGGGTGCTAACTTACAACCTGGAGATTAAGAATTGCATGCTCTTCTGACTGAGCCAGCCAGGTACCCTTTTTTGTTTTTAAAAAGAGAAATCTACCAAAAGTACAGAGGGCGGCTTGGAGAAAAGAGTAAGGAGGCTATTGCAGAAGTCTAGATGAAAAATAAAGGCTTGCCACTAGCCAGTGACAGTGGGGTGAAAAGGAGGGAACAAAGTAGACTATGTTAGCAACAGCATCTGCTAGGTTCAGTGACTGACTACAAAAGGAAACGAGTTTGGCATCATTAACCAGGCCAGAGAATACTAAAGAAGTAGCTGGTTCAGGCAGAGAAGCGAAGGAGGTCAATTAGGGAGGTCAAGTGCCTGAGCACATATGAATAAACAGGCAAGAGACACAACAGGATTTAAAGACCTGGAAGGACAGCAAGGCTAGAGAATACAGATTTGGAGAAGCCATGCCATGTGACTTAAGCTGAGGGTTTAGATGAGATGACCTACCCTATAATTCCCTTCTGAAATTTTATGTACAATTTTATGCCTATGTAAACATGCATATTTTTCCTGTGGGGGGAATTGGCACCCCCAGTTTTCAGATTCTCAACAGTATCCGTAACAGTTATGAACTAAAAATACAGCAAGAAAAGAGAATAAAACACAACCCCTAGGATAAATGGTGGGTGCAAGAGGAATGCTGATCCGGTATTAATTTATTTTTTAATAAGTGTTATCTTTTATAGCTAGGACTTTCAGGGGAAAAAAGGAGCACGGTAGGCTAATGTGGTTTCACTGCAGGAAAATCAGTCTCTTACCAAAGACTAATCATGTCTAGAAGTGATCGGTTAGTTCTATGAAAACCAACAGTACACCATGTAACTTACCTCGTTTTTCTTTTTCTCGTTGATCTGTGTTAGGGTTCTCTTGTTTGACTGTAGTTTGTCTGCATTGAAATTAATATACAAACCACCCAACTGCTTGATACTCATACCAGGGTCTAGGCTGCTGCTTGTCAACTTCAGACTGAAAGACAATGATCACTTAAAGATCAAGTAATCAGATCAAAATGGAAACAATTGAGACTGTATTTTTAAAATCACTTTTTTCTTCTCTCCCCTTTTACTGCCAATGACCCCCCCGCCAAAAGGAAATCTTATTTTTACAATGGAGTTTCTGAAAAACTGAAACACGTTTTTAAATCTAATAAAATCATTTAGAAGAAAATTCCAGGATGAATAATGAATGAAAAAAGTTTTTTGGGAGCCCATCTAAATCTATTCCTCAGATTAACTTAAAGAGGATTAAGACTATATAATATGCCAGTAGACTTCATAAAGGGATTTTATAAAGAAAAGAATTGTAAAGAGGAGATATATCTGGCAATTCAGCTCAACTTCATAGACAGATAGTGAGTTAACAAATGTACATACCTCTCTATCTCTAAAACCCAATGAAAAAGACAGGTTCTGAACTTCTAGGTTATCCAAATTTAGGTTTTTCTGGGTAAATAAGGGCATTTGGTAGTGCCTCTAAATCAGTGAGTTTTAAACAGCGGTGAACATCTGTATTTCTCACCAGAGATTTTCAAAAATACAGAAGTCATAGCCCGTATCTACCAAATCAGTTGGGTCTGGGCTCCTGCTATATTTATGTAATAAGAATTTCTACTTTTATATTACTGAAAGGTCCTTTTTATAAGCAAATACATTTGGACTTCCAGATACTTTCTTCCCTAATTATTCATATAAACTGAGCAGTTGAAAGCTTTGATCAACCTTTACTGGAAAGTGAAATTGTTCTACTGCAGTGGTTTGGCAGTGATTCTCAACCCTAAAGGTATATTAGAATTATCCCGGGGAGGAGTGTGGCTTTTAAAAAATAAGTATGCTTGAGGCTAGCCTCAGATTTATTTCATTGGTTTAGCGTGAAAACTGGGCATCTGTTAATGTATAGACTCTGGCCAAGGATGTATTTCCAGTGGATACAGGGCCACCGGAGCCCTGTGCCTAAGAAAAACAAATTTAAAACAGAAAAAAAGAAACTAAAGAAATAGCCCCCAAAGTTAGCACTTTTCAACGGGTGATAGGATTATAGGTGATTTTTTTTCAACTCCTCTACAGTTAGCTTGGAGAAAAGATAAAAGTTCCTTTCCTTCCCTTTTATGTTGCTCTTAACAATCATGCAGGAAAATCTTAGATGATTTTGAATAGATCACTGGTGGGAGAAATATGACTAACAGGCACCCATAGACTAGGGAAATGCTGGATAAAAGAGCTCTTCTAGGGGTGCCTGGGTGGCTCAGTTGTTAAGCGTCTGCCTTCGGCTCAGGTCATGATCTCAGGGATCTGGGATCGAGCCCCGCATCGGGCTCCCTGCTCGGCGGGAAGCCTGCTTCTCCCTCTCCCACTCCCCCTGCTTGTGTTCCCTCTCTCGCTGTGTCTCTGTCAAATAAATAAATCTTTTTTTTTTTTTAAAGAGCTCTTCCATAAAGAACCTGAGGCAGTAGCTTTCTCAATTCCCATGTTTTCTACTATTTCATATTTTTATGGTAAATCAGCCGCTTGAAATATGTATCAAAAACTTACTTTTAAAAATAAAGGTAAAACTTACAGTTTAGACTTTGTGTTATTTAGTAAGTCGTCTTCATCACTAAACTCACTATCTTTGTTTCTGTCATGGTCTGATGGTTCTTCACTTTTTTCATCCTCTTCTGCCTCTTCTTCCTCCTCAATGGCAACCTCACTTGCCTTGTCTCCCTCATCCAAGTAAAAATGTTTATCAGTACTCAATCCAGGAGTTGTGTCAATTACAAACAATGCATTGTCACCTGGCATATTTTCTGATTCTCCATTTAATGATTCCTTTTGACCATTATTTTCAACAAAACACACAGTGTCCTCTTCATTCTGACTATTTTCAGACTGCTGGCTTTCATCACTGCTGAGAACTAATAAAACAGAATCACCTTTGTCCAGGGATGTGTGGAGCTCAGACTTGAATAGTTTGGTTTCACACTCAAAATCTACATCCCTTCCTTCATTCCTGTCTTCACTGATACCTGTAACTGGGCACTCTTCTTCATCACTACCACTATCACCAAATTCTGTCAAGTCACTTGTTTTTATGGTGCTCTTTCTCTCTTCATTCCATCTGTCCACTTCCACCACCGCAAATGATTGAGCTAACGATTTCATTATAGCCTCACAGTTCAGATTTGAGGGCTCTGATGTGGTCTTATTATTTTGGGGGGTTGAATGCCTTTGAGAAACTAACCGCTGAATGCCAGTGTCCTGAGGTTCAGAAAGGCTCTCCAACTGAGAATTTTTCTTATTTATTTCTTTTTCCTCATCTACTATTCCCTTGGTTTCTTGATCTAAATTCTTATTATTCTGCTTTGTTATTTCTTTGAGAGATGCAACACTGGCCTTTTTCTCCTCTCTTATATTAAAACGTTGGCATTTTTGCACTGTTTGTTTTTTTTCTGAATTTCTGTGGAAGGACTCATCATCGAAGTCATTATGAATTTCATTATAGAAATTTGGCTTATTTATCTGAGGAAGAGATCTTACCAGTAAACAGGTTGTTTGTCTGGTATCTGAATCCTCTGAATTCACAGGCACATTTATGATTTGCTTTTCATTTTCTGGTACAATGTCATTATCTTTCTCCTCAGTCTGTGCGTGTAATTTCTTCTGCATACTTCTCGTTCTCATAGTTGCAACTCCAGAAAATGAAGAAATGTCTGAGTATGATGACTCAGCATCAGAAATAGCTTCTGCACGTAATTCTTGGCTTGGATCTCTTACAGATTTAGCCTTACTTCTTCTGGTCCTTGTAGTTATTACTGTGGGCGGCACAATTCTAGAAATACCTGAGACATGTGATTCAGCTTCAGAGTCATCGTCATTGTCTTCAATATGAGACTGATTTATTGGAGTTATTTTCAGCCTTTTCCGAACACTGGACACTGGAGTGCATGCAACTAAGATCTGCCGTCTCCTAGTTACTCTTAAAATGGGATCCTGGAGCTCAGACACAGAAGAACAATTTGACTCTGCTTCAGAGGTCTCTCCATCAGTAGATGGTTTGTTCATTTCAGATGAGATTGCAGTTCCGCTCTTCCTCTTTCTGGTTTTAGGAGTTCTAGAGACTGGACTTTGTTTCCTAGTGGTCTGTGATTCAGCAGTGGTTGGGTCAACAGGTAGACATTCCTTCCTGACTCTTGGATGTGCCTGAATTCTTTTAGCAGAATTCTGTAAACCAGAATAAATACACTGTAATTTAGGTAGGACTGGAACTAGGGCACTCCTCTCAGGAGAACATTTTAAGAGGGTACTAAAAAACTCAGTAAACAAGATTAATACAAAACCACTACCACCACCCACAAAACAAAACACCTAAATACTAAATACTGGATCTAACACTGCATTTGCAAGGCCCTGCCTCACAACCACCAGTACCCATGATTTTTAACAATAAAAAACAAAAAACATATACTGGATCTGACTTTGCATTTACAGGACCCTGCTTCACTCGCCTCACCCAAGACCTAGATCTAATTTTAGGGAGCAAAACAATTAATTGAAAAGAAAAGTTTCTGCAGGTATCAAATGCCAAATATGCTTGGTGGACCTACATTCTGACACAAAGGGGAAGAGAGAAGAAAAGAAATATTAACTCTGAGCACAGATGTGTTCAGGAATACACACACAGGGCGCCTGGGTGGCTCAGTTGGTTAAGCGACTGCCTTCGACTCAGGTCATGATCCCGGGGTCCTGCGATAGAGTCCCACATCGGGCTCCCGGCTCGGCGGGGAGCCTGCTTCTCCCTCTGACCCTCTCCCCTCTCATGCTGTTTCTCCCTCGCTCGCTCTCTAATAAATAAATAAAATCTTAAAAAAAAAAGGAATACACACACAAATGGAATCAGTCGCTACCCTTACCTTTACATACATACATCAATTAACACTCTATTCCCTTCGTCACAGAATCAGACCCAGCGGACTAGAGCCACTGAGAGCCACCAGGAGGCGTCACTGCAGCCTTCCCCACTCCAGAATAAAGTGCTGTGGGGCTACTACCAGCTCCCCACGTGACAACGGTAACCTCCTCTTCAACCCTGCTAATTATAGTTAGACTCACACTTGGTAGCCGAAATTAAGCCTCCTTCGTACGGTTTTAACAGGTTAAAAGGCCTCAGCTGTGCATCTGCCATTACGAAGGTGAACTACCCAAAGCAAGTTACCTGACTCTCTGTTCCATGCTAAGGACTGTCTTAAACGACCGTAGCGAGGGCTGAAGAGGAAGCTACGGACTTAGCACTGGGTCTGACACAGCAGCGCGCGACAAGCTCGGGCCCTTTCCGCTGCTCCTCCTCACGCTGCTCCGCCGGACCTTCGCGCCGCCCTATCACCCTAAGTGCCGCTCTGTGAAGCAGCGGCAGAAATGAGAGCGCTCTGCCATCTCCTACCTTCTGCTGGGAGTTTTCAGCCAACGTGGCTTGGATCGGGGCCTGAGGCCTCCCGGACCTGGTCACCACCATCCTCCCGGCTCGCGGCCACCTCGGCCTGCCTCTGTTCCGGCGCCCCGGAAATACGTCAAAGAAGCGTCTCGCTCGCATTTTCCGCGAGGATTCCGGAACTAACGAGAATCTCGTACTGGCCTCCGGCCCACGGACCTGGGTCAGGCGGGTCTGACCTAGGGATTCCCAAGGCGACGGTTTCCAGCGTTCACTCCAGTGCGGTGAAAGTCAGACCCACCGACCTCTGGCAGGGAGAGACCTTCGTTGGGGCGGCGAAACAGCAGTGACGGAGGGCCCTCGTCCCAGTTTCACACAAACGAATTGGAAAATCGCATCTTCTTTCCAACTTCAACCATCCTCTCATATGTTTGGTCTTTTAAATGTAGTCATGGGTGTGACCCAATGAGGCGTTTGCATTATTTATAATTTTTGTTTTTGTAACGACGTACTCTTGTCTTATTCGTGAAATTAAATATTAAATTTTTTATTAATAAATAAAAATCAAAAGACTCGGTTAGGGTAAAGATGTGTTTTTTAAATGTTCCAGAAACTCAGAGACTGTCTAAAGGTAAGATGGTGACTAGGGATCGGAAATAAGCGGAAAAGAAGAAATGTTAAATTTTATTTTTTTAATTTTTTATTTTTAAAGATCTTATTTATTTGACAGAGACAGGGCCAGAGAGGGAACAGAAGCAGGGGGAGCGGAAGAGGGAGAAGCAGGCTTCCCGCTGAGCGGGGAGCCCAATGCGGGGCTCGATCCCAGGACCCTGGGATCGTGACCTGAGCTGAAGGCAGACGCTTAACGACTGAGCCACCTAGGTGCCCTTATTTATTTTTTAAAGATTTTATTTATTTATTTGACAGAGCACAAGTAGGGGGAGCAGGAGAGGGAGAAGCAGGCTCCCTGCTGAGAAGGGAGCCTGATGCAGGGCTCAATCCCAGGACCCTGGGATCATGACCTGAGCCGACGGCAGATGCTTAACCATCTGAACCACCCAGGCATCCCAGAAATGTTAAATTAAAAAAGAGCAATAAAAAAAAAATTTTTTTTTTCTTGCAGTGAAGAGAATGACCAGAATCAAGAGAAGGTGTTTGGTGTTCTTTTAGGATGAAGTATGGAGAGTTAGAATATATCTGAGGCGAATGGAAAGGGATACTGTTGGCGAGAAAGGATGAGTTCTTCACCAAATCTATATAACAGAAAACCAATTTTTTTCTTATTGTCAAAAAACACAGATTTTTCATTGGGCACATGACCACCCAGCTAAATAGGTCCTTTCATAGTTTCCCTTGCAGCCAAATGTGGCTGACTAAATTTTGGCCAATTGGCATAAATTGTGTAGTTCTTTAGGGACATAGGAAAAGAGGAGGTCCTCCCTGACTTCTTTAACTTCCTTTTTCACCCTGGAAAGCTGTATTCTCAGGTTTCAAGCAGCAAGTTTGTGCAATGAAGATAAGGGCCACACTTTAGGGATGGCAGAGCCATGAGAGAGAAAACATGAGTCCCTGACAGCTGATGGAGCTGCCATATCTGTCCTCAACAGCCCACTTCTAGATCTGTCTCACCTGAAACACCTTTTTTCCCCAAGTTTTTATTTAAATTCCAGTTAACATACAGTATAATAATTAGTTTCAGGTGTAGAATTTAGTGATTCATCACTTTTTAAAGTCACTTATTTGGAGATTTTCTGTTATTGCAGCTGAGCCAAATACAACTGAAGAATGGAATAAGAAAACAGATGGAGTTAGCTACAGAAGAATGCTCCTTTCTTTGAGGCAGGAGGGAAGAGTTAATATTTGAAGTAGAAAGAGAATGTGAATGCAAGGAAATTAAAGTGGAGGGAAGAAGAGGGGCTTTTGGATGGATAACTTAATCTTCTCTGTAAACTGAAGATTCATCTGCTTAGAGGGATGGAAAAAGGTTTAGATTGACCCTTGTGGGGAATGTGGTAAGGAACAAAAAGAAGGAATTTTATTATTTTTAAAAACTTTATATATCTGAGGGAGAGTGAGAGCAAAAGCGAGAGAGAGAGAGCACGAGCAGGAGGGAGAGGGAAAGCAGGCTCCCCGTTGAGCAGGGAGCCTAATGCCAGGACTCAATCCCAGGACCCCAAGATCATGATCTGAGCTGAAGACAGACACTTAATGATTGAGCCACCCAGGCACCCCAAAGAAGGAATTTTAGTATGGCCATGTAGCAATGAGACTATGTAAGAGGACGAACATAAGGCAGGTTAGATTTCAAGAGAAGGTAGAATGGTGTAGAGGAAGGAAAGTGAACCTATTGGAGGTTACATGCACTAACTCATGAACTCTACAACAACTTTAACATGAGCAAATGCATGAAAATGAAATTAAGATCACAGGAGTGGGTATAGAAAATTAGGGAATATTAAAAAATCAGTGTGTAATATTCACTTGCAAGCATGGCCACCTTAAAGTAAAACAAAAACTCCCAAACATTACAATCTAACAAGATGAAGAAACAAAATTAAATGTCAGTACATATTCGTAATCTGAGAAGACTGAGCTGGTCTACTATCAACATGGCTGATAATAGGCAAAACTTCACCATGTTCTGTTTTTGTTTTAAGTGGGCTTCCCAGGTCTGCCCTGTTTCCATTTCTACCTTTTTGCCTACCCTCTTTACCCAATGTGGATTTAGGGCAAATACACAATTTTAGGTAGATACAGTATGAAAATACAGTAGTTATCACTCAGGCCCAAAGGGAAACTCTCCCTTGACAGTCAATATTTTACTAATTAAATCCTTAAACTGAAACGTTGAATCTCTCCCTGGAATTTCAGGCATTAACCAAAAGATGGGAGTTTTAGTTCATGAGCCTTCTAAAAATAAATACTACTTGTAGTTATTCCACATTATTACATGTAAAATTAAAGTTGGCTTTAAGATGATCCCCAATGATCCCATCTCCCAGTTTCAAACCCTTGAGTGGGGGCTGGACTTGGTGATAATGAAAAGAATGTCAAAAGTGATAGATCTCTTTCATGATTAGGTTACCAAAAAAGCCAGGCCACCTTCTTGCACCGTCTCACCTGTTCATTCTGTGGGAAGCTAGTTGCATGTGATGAGCTGTCCTATGGAGAGGGCCATGTGGCAAGGAAATGAGAAAGGCCTCTTGGCCTATAGCCAACAAGGAACTCAATCCAGCCAACAACCATATGAGCAAGCTTGGAAGTAGACCCACCTCAATCGAGCCTATAGGTGAGACTGTAATCCCAGCTGACACTTTGACTGCAACCTTTTGAGACACCTTAAGGTACCCAGAAACAGCAATAAATCTCATTATCAAATAATTTTGTCTGCTCTAAAATTTCATGTAAGTACTCGCTCTTTCACGTCTAGCTTCTTTCACTCAGCATGTGTCTGAGATTCATCTGTTACTGTATATAATTTTTATTGCTTAGTATCCATTGTATGATTATAATACAGTTCATTTATCCATTCAACTGATAATAGCATTTGGGTGGTTTTCAGTTTTCAGCTAATCTAAGTGCTATAAACATTTATATATGTTCTTTTTGGACATCTGTATTTCTCTGTATACCTAGGAGAATAATTGCTGGGCCATATGGTAAGTGAACATTGAATTTTGTAAGAAATGCCAAGATATTTTCCATAGTAGTCATACCATTTTATGTTCCCACCAGCAATATGAGAGTTCTGCTTGCTCCATATCCTTGCCAACACTTGGTACTGTCAGCCTTTTAAAATTGTAGCTATTTTGTATTCTAGTGATGTTTCCATATGGTTTTAAATTGCATTTCCCTGATAATGATGTTTTAAGCATCTTTTAATGTTTCATTGGCTATTCATATGTTAATCACTCTGTGGGGTGTCTCTCCACTTTCTTGACAGTGTCCTTTGAAGTGCAATTTAAAAATAATTTGATTATGCCTTATTTTTCATCAGAAGTATGTATTGGAAATATTTTCCCCCAGTCTATGGCTTGTATTTTCACTTTCTTAAGTGCCTTTTAAGGAACAGAAGATTTAAATTTTGATTAAATCCAGTTATCAGTGTTTTCTTTTATGGTTTCTTTGTTATCAAAAAGCTTTGCAGCCAGTTTTAATTTTCCTGCTTTGTTCTAATTCCATACACATCAAAATAAGTCGAAATTTTCAACTAAAAAAAAAAGACTAGAGAAAGACACTACTTCTAGGGAAGGAAATCCAGAGTTTCATCAGGAAGAGTATATATACTGGAAATCATTGCTCAGGGAAAGTATGTGGAAACTTAAAATTCTATAACGTCAAATGATCACTTAAGATTGAGAACAAAATGAAGACATTTGCAGACAAACAGGACCTACAAAGTTTACTGTGCCCAAAGACAAAGACCTTCAGTGAAAGAATCACTAATGACATACTTAAGAAAAAAGCGAACTTAAATGGAGTAGGATGCAGGAATCAACAGTGAGGAAAGAAACAAGGAAAACACAGCTGAGTCAAAGTAAGTAATGCATATCGTAAAACATGAACCTTTCAAAATAATGGACCAACAGACACATAAATATCTTGTATGACACTTTATACATTTATTCATTGCTGAGAGATACATATTAAAGTTTTGTTTGGCTTTTCTGGTAGTGAAACTATAACAGCCGTATTCTATTTGGGGGATTTGGGCAAGTTTTAGCCTTTTTTCTTTTTTTAATAAAATTCTGTTTCCAACCTTACTCTTTTTTTTTTTTAATTTTATTTATATTGACAGAGAGAGACACAGCAAGGGAGGCAACACAAGCAGGGGGAGTGGGAGAGGGAGAAGCAGGTTTACCGCGGAGCAGGGAGCCCGATGGCCGGGCTCGATTTCAAGACACTGGGATCATGACCTGAGCCAAAGGCAGATGCCTAACGACTGAGCCACCCAGGCACCCCTCCAACCTTACTTACTCTTGTCTCAACAGAAGCCATTCCTTTCTATCTGTAAGGGCAAGCTCTTTAAGAACGTGTTTTCACTGAATTCCTAAAGTTTACATATAAATTGTTCATCATTCAATAAAAACCTATTTACAAACAAGGCCAACAAAGGCCTCTGCCAGAATGCCCACCACCCACTGTCTCATCCTACTCTAAGGCTAATTTCTTCAGGGAAGTCTCCTAGCAGTAGATAGTCCCTAGCCCCACTTCCTTCTATCTGGCCCCAATCCCTTTTCCCCACTTTGATCATTACAACATGGACTCTACTGCTCTTGCTCATGTACAGATCTCTCCCCCCCCCCCCCCGGCCAACCTATACTATATGCTCCTTGAAGACAGAGGTGGTTTATTTCTGTGTCTGTCTGCCAATACCTTACAGAGTGGCTGGCATATAGTAGGCATTTGATAAATCTTTGAATGAACACATGAATAGCTTTATGGCTTGGATATTTAAAAATTATTCAGAATTTATCTTCAAATCATACTCAGTTTGAGTTCAAAAAGTTCAAAATCAATACTCTAGGATGCTTTCAACTACCCAAACAACTCAATTAAACAATATACAACACACTTTATTTTAATTAATTCTTAATACTCATAATATAGGTGAAATTAAAGACTATTATAAATATTAATGCTTTATATTTTGCCTGTATTTTGTAATACACCACTATGGACACATCTAATGAAAACATTTTCCCGTCCTAAGTGTATTTCTAATTCTGAAAACTATAAATATAAAATATTAATGAAAGTTATGTTACATAGTTTTCAAAAATAAAACTGACATATCCCATCAACAACTTTATGAGGAAATGACAGGTACAAGTTCTGGTACATTAGGAAGTTAACTTTAAAAAATATGTTCAGAATCATAAGTTGGTATATTTGACTACGAAAACAAACGGTTTAAATTCTCATTAAAACAACTTTAAATTTCTCTAAATGTACAACTGGCAGAGAGATGAACTGTCAATCATTTCATTCCCCAATATGGAAAATGCTGGGTGGAAAAGCTGGAAAGAAAATCTGTTCAAAAATGAGATGTAATTAAATGAATCTTAGACCTTTTATCACTGAAAACTGAGATCCTATTTCAGTTACTACTTGGCTCTGGTAGGGAAAAGTCTGACCATTCATTCAAAATAGAGTAGCTTTATTTTCCATTCCACACATAGCTGTTTAAGTGATTTTCTTTGAGAACAGAAAAATTATTAGCTATTTGTGATTCAATCTAGCACTGGCTATCCCTAAATGGATACTCTACTAGCGTACTGGCACAATGTGGTCTGCATAATTCACATCATATGAACATATTTTATAAAACACCTTGGTCCTTCTGGTGACTACAGTTTCTTGGATGAGAATATAAGATAGACTCATCACAGAACAAATTCTAAGTTACAGTACATTGTGTTAATGTAAGGCTCCAGTGTATTCTGTAAATGTAATAAACTGTAGCTTTTCATGTTTACTGAAAAAAAAAAACCCAATTATACAAATTCTTTCTACTTTGAGTCATTGGATACACCTCTCCCCAGAAAACATATCTGTTATATACGCTATTGATAACTTAGCTTTCAGCTTTAAGCAATTATTTGGTAGTATTACTGTTATTTTATGGCTTTTTAAACATTAAGTCCTTAAATATTTGAAAAGCATTCACTATATTCTGATAGTTTACAAAAAAAAAAAAAAAGATGTGAACACCAGTTTGGAAAATGTCAAGTCTTAAAACATCATTTTTTTTAAATGGTTATTCAATAACAGAAATTAAAGGTACAGAAGTTAAACAAACTCTTTTTAAAATTCCATACATACACAATCCCCTTCACAAAATGAATCTATAAACTTGCTTCTTTGTCAAGAGAGGGGGAGAAAGTACACAAAAAAAGTTCCTCTGAAGTTTGTATCAATTAGTAACATAAGTTTTTTTTTCCATTTTCAAAATAACCCTTCAAACAATCCATTTTTATAAGTCTAGGGCTTTAAAAAGCAACAAATTGATATAAAGTTCCCTCTTAAAATATCTTGACCAATTCACTGTTTAGGCTTAAATTAAAATGAACATTTGTTTAAAGACGTTGTATGAAAAAATGCTACAGATTTCCAAATAAAAGTTAACTATATACATTCCATAACATTATATACAATTAATGTAAAGGCTATATAAGGCCTTAGGAAGCTCTAAGTCTAAATGAATTTTAACAAGTAAATCAGCTGATTTCATGTTACAATTCTAGGATCAAATTATCCAACCAGTAAACTACAAAACATTATTTAGGATAGGAAGAGTCTGCTGTATTTCCTTTTTTTTTTTTTTTTTTTTAAAAAAAGATCTATTTATTTGAGAGAGAGCGCGCGTGCACAGGGTTGGGGCAGAGGGAGGGGGAGAATTCCAAGCAGACTCTGGCGCTGAGAGTCAGAGCCCTATGTGGGGCTTGATCGCATGACCCTGAGATCATGACCTGAGCCAAACCAAGAGTCAGACACTTAACCAACTGCACCACCCAGGCGCCCCTAGTGTATTTACTTTGAATATGGAACCACTTTTCTCTAAGTTGAAAAAACTTGGGCAAAATTAGTTTTATATATTAGTTTATTTTTTTCAAAGATTTTATTTATTTATTCGAGAGCGCGAGAGAGTGAGAGAGAGCATGAGCAGGGGTAGGTGCAGAGGGAGAAGCAGACTCCCTGCTGAGTAGGGAGCCCAATGTAGGGCTCAATCCCAGGACCCCGGGATCATGACCTGAGCTGAAAGCAGACACTTAACCGACTGAGCCACCCAGGTGCCCTATATTAGTTTTTTTAAATAAACCATGTATTAAGACACATGGTTTAAAGGTACTGATTGACATACAAGAGATTTTTGAAGTTTGAAGAACTTTTCAAACTATTTGGGTTACAGATACAAATTTATAGACCTAAGGAGACCTGTAATCTATATCAAAGGCCACAGCTTATTTGTTTGCTATTTTCTGGTTCTTAAACTAATGGGAATTATAATAAATAATCTACGACCTCTTCTAGCTCTAAATTTTTGATTATACCATTTTGTTTTTAAATGGTTAGGACCGTATCTCAAAAAAAAGTTGTCTATTAAATAGACAATGTTGGCCTTGAATTAAAGATTTTTTTCACTCCTTTTCTGGCTGTTAGTCCCTTCAAGTCAGTTATTAGTGGGGAACAAATATTACACATTTTACTCAACTGATTCTGACTCCCTGTGTCCCCTTTCTCCCCAGAGCCCACAGTGCCCAGCACATGGTAAACACTCAATACTTACTGAATATTCTTGAATGAATAGCAAAATATTAAGGATGGATCAAGAATTAAAAAGAATCTGGAGATGATAATAGTTGCTTTTATAAAACCCCCAAATAATAATTTCAAAGCTTCTAATCTCCTTTTTCAGATTTACTTTGGTTTGTCTTGGAAATAATAGCAAGGAAAATATGGCACAAGAATACAAGATTAAATCATTATAGGTAAACTACAAGCAAGGACAATTAAGTTTAAGTTTTCATTCATGTACTGAAGATATGAATTTTACTTACACTACTAGTAGATCCCAGCTACTCTAGTTACTCTGGGATATAATCATCTTATCAATTACAGAAAAAATATCTTCCAGTATTTGTTTTAACAATTGTAATTAAATTGCTTATACTATAGAATAAGAAGCCATTAATTAATTTTTGGAAATAAAAAATATGTATATACATTACCCTGATACCTAGGCCCAAAATATATCTAACAACAATTTTTCTTGATTTCTATTAGTCATAAAAATAAAGGAAAAATATATTGTAAGTATTTTTCTTCATAGACAATTTCAATTAGAAAACAATAGTTTAATGAAAACAATACAGTGGAGTTCATGTGAGTGAACTGATATGGAGGCAAGAGAAGTATTCAAATCTTGACGGATAACATATCGTCAAATATAACTGAAGAATATCTGCCTCCATGACACCATTTACAGGCAGTAACTAATTTTTATACATCTCAATTTTATCTTATATTCAAGGAAAATACAAGTCAGTAGGTTATGATCCTAAGTCGTAGTTAAGAACCCCTTCTTTTAGCTTGTAAAATGTAGCCTTTTGATTTGATAATTCCTCTACTTTTAACAATGACCGAATACCGCAGTAGCCACAGGGGCACCCACTCATGTGCTTGAATGTCAGGGATGCTTTCCTGAAGAGCTTCTTGGAAACTGGCTTCAGAAAGCAGTTCTTAAAACAAACAAACAAATAAAAACCCAAAGTGTTAAGTTTGAAAATAACAGCACTTTACTATGTAGGTAAGCATTTAAATACAACAAAAGAAACAATTCAAAATTGAATATAAAATATGCTTTTCCTTCATGTGTGCTATGAATCTGAACCAGAATATCAAAAAGATCCAGGCAGTTCTTTAGAAAGCCCCTACACCTCTACCCCAGCCTATTTAATTCATAACCTCTGGTGAGTGGAGCCTGCATTTTTTTTTTTTTTTTGAAGACTTCCAGGCAATTCTAACGTAGAGCCAGTGAAAATACAGGAAAGTATATACACAGAAGAAAAAGGAAAGGTATCCATAATCCTATCAACCAGAGATAGATTACTTCCATTGCCATGTATATCCTTCCAACTTTTTTTCTGTACCTTTCCATATCTCAAAAACTAAAAATCATGCTGTAGTTACAACCTAATTTACTTATCTTTTCAACTTCTATTATGAATCTTCCCATGTAATTAAATATTCTGTGGAAGCATAATTTTTAATAATTACCCAGATACTACATTATATAGATATCATAATTTATACATTTCCTCATTGTTGACCAAAAAATTTAGTTTTTTCCTAGTATTTTGCTAATAAAAATAATGTCATGCTGAACATCTTTAAAATGCATGCCTGGCTATGGAATGACAAAGTCAAAGTACAAGTACATTTTGAAGGCTTGATAGACAGTATATTGCCAATTGCTTTCCAGAAAGGCTATATTTTACACTTCCACGAGCAGTTGATAATGTTAGAGTGCCAATCTTACCATATCCTCACGAGCACCAGCAATCATTTAAAAACTCTGGCAACGGTTATCTTTTTATTTGCATCTCTTTGATGAAATAATTATTTTCTAATCCCACACTGATATCCAAGCCCTTGACTCCCGCTCGGATGTACTACCCGCCCCCCAACTGCCTCTTCTCCAGCCACACTGGCCTCAAACCTGTATCCTGAAATCCTCAAGCACACTCACACTTTGGGGCCTTTGAATCAGCTGCTCTCTCCTCCTTGAACACTCTTCTTCCAGGTTCTCGCAGGGCTCTCACCCTTCCTGCAGGTCTCTGATTAATGTCCCCTTAGCAGAGAGGCCTCCCTGACTCACCCTATATAAAACAACCCCTAACCTGGGCACTCTTTTCTTCCTCAGCCAATTTTTCTCCATAGCACATACCATTATTTCTCACATTTAACATTTACCTTATTGTCCATCTCCTCCCACCAGAATATAAATTCCATGAGGGTTGGAATTTATCTGACTTGGTCTTTCTATTCCTAGTACTTTGAATAATGAATGACACAATTTAGGTATGCAAATGTCTGTTGAATCAATCAAGCAATATGGAAAGATTCTACCAGGGTCAGAACCAACCACACAGATAGAGACTAAGTGACCATCCATACAGTATGATTTGGGAGCGCTAAAGGACCCAATTGACCCAAAAGAACTGCTGTGATATTTGAATAACATCAATAGTAAACTCTCAGTAAATGTTAGCTATTATCACGTGCCAGGTACTTTTCTGAGTACTTTACATGTGTTAGCTCCTTTAATCTACATGTTAACCCTACAAGACAGATAATATTCTCCCCTTTTCCAGGGGGCAACTGAGGCAGAGAGTTTAGATAACCTGCTCAAGGTCATGCAGCCAGTAAATGGCAACTTTGATAAATGGAAGGCAAATATCTCTTTGGGAAAGTAACATGAACATGGATTTGTATATCAGTCTATCTGACAGAGAACAGGACCTGGAGGGAATGAGGCATAAGGCAGATCAGATTTAATGGGAATGAGGGGAGGGTAAAACAAATAAAAAGGGAAAGGTTCTGAGTCAGGATCACCTACTTCACAATTTCACCCTGACTGTAGTTAAACTGTTACCACAACTTCTAGGACAAAGAGTAATGGAAAATAAGCACTTTCTGAAGAATAGAGTAATTTTAGAACAGGGGAAGGGTTTTAGAGGGGACTTATAAACAAAACTCTACTTTAGATGACAAGTAGAGTTAAATGTTTTATAACTTGATTGCTTAAAAAATAAAATGTGACACATAATCAGAGAGCTATGCTATTCATCAACTTAATTACATACTTTTAAAAATTAACTATGTGAACTCTTTAGAATGAGTAAACACAATAAATCTTTTAAGGAAAGAATTGCTTCATTACAGATCAAAGTGTCTGAAGATTCATTAATGGTATATGCAGGATCAGCCTATAAATTCTAATCAAAGGGTTTAGGATTAAAATTAGAAAGACATCCAAATGTAAGTTTTGTCAGTAAAGCAAAATCATACCAAAAAAGGATTAAATTTCTCTTCTCATATGTATATACAATTTATTTTTCAATAAGAACAATGCATTAGCACATACCCACATGCCTTCCATCTACCATGGAAATAAAATACCAGACACCTTAGTCTTTTCCTATTTCCTTTGAAAAAGGAGGTTTTTTTTCAAGTGGAGCTAGAACGGGATGCAGGCTCATCCGTCAGCTGTTGATAATAATTATTGTTGGAAGAGCCCCCCCCCCAAGTAAACAGATAAATGACAGAATATCTGCCAACATAAAGTTGGAATTTAAACGGTTTGTTTCAGAATAAATCAGCATAGAAATTCTTTGTTAGAGTTTCACTAAGACGACTTTTTTTTAGTGAATTTAATTACTTATGAAAGTAATTACTGAAGGGAGAGGCAAAAGTCTTTTTCTCCTATTCTGGTATCATTTAAATAGAAACTGGTAAGAAAGTAAGGTTTCAGACTGAAATACTACAATGCTAACATCTCAAATTAAAAAGATAGTACAGAATAGGGGAAAAGGCTCCCAATTCAGCCAGGACCAAGTCCAAGTTTAAACTTTGCCCCCTGCCAAATGGGTGACCTTGGCTAGTTTCTTAAATTCTGAGGCTCTATTTCAACAATAAAATGCCTAGTTGCAGTTGTTGTGAGGATTACAGATCATCCCTCTAAGGCATTTAGCATGATGCCTAACATTTGAGGAGCAATAACTATCAAAACTCCTCTTCCTACAAAACAGTGAAAAAATGAGAATGGGGCAGACTGCTAAATAAATAAGTATAAAGTATAAAACATTCTCTTCCTAGCTTTTCTACTTATCCTATAAAATGTTGATAAAACATTATACTATAGAAGGCGGACAAGCCATTCTCATTAATCAAATAATGTTTCTGATTGACACCAAACATATAAGTCTTGATAGAAATGATTAATAAGATACCTAATCAATTACCTATCCTAAGATGCTTAAATTTCAAATTAAATTTTATCTGCCTCTTTCCAGATATTTACCCTCTTTAAGTGGCTGTTTGGTACAATTTTTGCTGTACTACACAAGATTTTATATGATACTATTTAGAATATCTTAAAAGATCTTTTTTGTGTAGCTTAATATTTATAAACTTCAACAGACTAGATGTTCAGGATATAATCCCTTCAATTTTTTGCTCACTGACAGACAAAATAAAGCTTTCTGAAACTAAATGCATATATATTTTGGACTATTAAGAAAAGTTCTAGGTAGCATTTATCATTGTACAAAATTAAAAATTAAATTTTAACAAGTAGCTTCTTGTAAGACAAAAGCTCATGATCAATCAACAAATGAAAATCTCAGTCTTACCTTTTGGATCATTATGAGTCAATAGCTGTATGTCAAATTGTTTAGCAAATGCAGTCAAGTCGGGTGGCATCACACAGCAGGAGGCAAGATTAACTTGGTTACTATTTGGTTTTACCTAGAAGTGAAAAAAATCATGACACTGCACTAAATTAAGTACTACAAAAAGTGGAAAGCAATAAAAGAACACAATTTTAGAAAATACAAAAGACTGCATTTTATAGTGCTTAAAATTTATAAAACATTTTTATATGAATATATTTATTAATGTATGCTTTTTTAACTCATGTTAGTGATAACAGCGAAAGAAAGCTCTAGGATGGGGGCAAAAGCCAATATACTGCTATACCCTTAGAAACTCTCCTGCAATCTAATACACTTGCCTCAGAAACAAGCATGGTTCTAAGTGTGATGATTCCAGCTCAAGAGGGAATAGGTCTTAAAGGTAAAGGAGCAAATAGAAACAGTAAGAACATTTAATGTTAAAGTATAAAATATGGTTATAAATCAGACACATTTTGAAAAAGAATTAGATAATTTCTAATAGTTGCTCTGGTTAATTTACAGATACATTCCACATCACCCAAGTCTCTCCAGCAGAATCTTAGCCACATTCTGGCTACCACCAAGTCAAAGGGAGGAGGAACAATACTTTCTCTAAGGTCTTACTGCCCATAAGAAACTGAAAACTCTGCAAAGGAGAAGGATGGGGATGAAGTAAAAGGAATAAAGAAAAATACAGAGGGTAAAGGTAAAAAATACTGGTAAGCAACTTCCCTAATAATATTGTACATTATTAGAGGCCAGAGAGTGGTGATTAATTTATGACACCTATTCCTTATCAAATTCTATGAACCAAAAGTATTTTATATCTTTAAATAAGAGCAAAATATTTGTTACAGATGATATTCCCTTACCTAAGAAATCAGTACCAAGACCTAAGCATATCTAAAGCAAAATGTTAATATTTTTATCACAAAAGTAAAACCGAAGGAAATGGCCTGAATTCATGTTGGCTATAAATGCTTCAGCACACATTTTCTAGGGTTTTTGTCATTCCTTTTAAATGAGATTAGTATTAAGGTCAATTAGGTATATATTTGAGATGAAAAAGGCCAGTGCTTTCGATAAATCTTGCCTCAAAACTCCCGCATTTGGAATAGCGCCCCCACTCTAAGTGCCCACTGTTGTGCATGATGCTGAGCAATGTGAAGCAAAGACTGTAAACGACAGGGTCCTCCCAGAGTGCTTGTGATCTAGCTGTGCTTTACCTGTGCCCACTGATACAGCTGTTCCAACTGAGTTTTGTCTAGGTCAGAGGTACCTATCGCAACAATCTTTTTGCTCTGAACCAAGTTTTCTAATTCCTCCCAGTAAGGCTGCAAATGCTCCAAGGAGAGATTAACTCCATCTTCAATAGGAGGTGAAGCAATGATGACAGAATCCAGCTGTGCAACTCCAAGGACGGAACAGGCTGATGTGAAGGAAAACACAATAGGGTAAGTATTTGCTACATAATGAAAACAAGTAATGTCTTTCAAGTATCCCACTAAATTCTGTCCATACCAGTTCACTAGTTTTCTAATATAGCAGATTATTTAATTCAGTTTCATAATTTACCTATCATTTAGAAAATTGCCATCTCTTAAAAAAGTGTAAGTCCCTGTTCATCTACTTGGTCTGTGTGGCAGACAGGTCAGTTTCTTTGACCTGCCTCCTTCCTAGGGACTCACAGCTCTGACAGTCCTTCTGGGGAACAGGCCTCCTTGTTTCCTAGGCCCCAGGAATTTTTTGGTAGCTTCTTTATCTTCATAAAATTTTCTTCTCCAGTTCTACTAGTATCTTGTATGGATGATCACAAGAATTCTGACCTCATATTCTGTAATTGGTAGTCATGGCAAAGAACAGTCTTTTTTTTTTTTTTAAGATTTTATTTTATTTATTTGACAGAGAGAGGGAACACAAGCAGTGGGAGTGGGAGAGGGAGAAGCAGGCCTCCCGCAGAGCAGGGAGCCGGATGCGGGACTCGATCCCAGGACTCTGGGATCATGACCTGAGCCGAAAGCAGACACTTAACAACTGAGCCACCCAGGCGCCCAAAGAACAGTCTTGAGACTCTGAAAAACTAAATTTATGGTCCTAATCTACAGAGGTAGATAATTTAATTTCTGTAAAAATAATTTAAAGGGTTCATTTTAAATGATTATTGTCCATTCCACAGTAATATTAAAGAGCTAATTACTTAAATGTTCAACACCTATAATACTGGAAGAATGTTTTAAAAGAAAAAATGTTGAGGGCACCTGGGTGGCTCAGATGGTTAAGCGTCTGCCTTCGGCTCAGGTCATGATCCCAGGATTCTGGGATCGAGTCCCACATCAGGCTCCCTACTCCTTGGGAGCCTGCTTCTCCCTCTGCCTCTCTCTCTCTCTCTCTCTCATGAATAAATAAATAAATAAATAAAAAATAAAATGCTAAAAGAAAAAATGTTGAATAACTGTAATATCACAATAATCTGACCAAGTGCCGAACAAAGATGAGAATGCTTATTTTGTTGCTGTGGAGGTAGTGGTCATGGTGTTTCATCTACAGTACTACAAGGGCTAAGAATATGGTTAAGGAGAATTTCATCTCCAAACGTATAGTTAACAATTATGTTACAGCTTTTACGTTTCTCATATATATCAAAATATGAACCTATGTAAGTCGACATGATCTGACACAAGCCTTAAGAAATCAGGCTAGAACTTTAGAAAGTAAAATTGGAATGAGCTCATCTTTTTCACCTGGTCCTGAACACAAGATATAACTACTACACCTACACTAATTTAAAATTATGAAGGTAAAAAGTTAAATCTTTGCTTACCCATGTCAACTGCATTTCTAGTTGAGGATGAAGAGTTTGATCCTACAATGAAGAGTTTTGCTGGGTAACAAAAGAAAACAAAACTGATTACTAAATTTGGGTAACATTCTACTAGACAGTATGAACACTGCCAACAATACTAAGTTGACAGAGAATCCTGAATGAATTATTTTTCCTTTCCTAGTCACATAATTTTATAGTTTTCATTTTAAGACATGAAAATACCTTTCCATTGTAATTTTTAAATTACATGCCAATTGCCAAAAAATATCCATTTGTAAAAAAAAAACAAATATTAATTTTCCATTTGCTAGAAGGCAGGTCACATAAATATACAAATTACTCAAAATGTACATTTTTATGAATTAAATATTAATGGAACATATTATATACATTCTCCAATAAACTAAAATCAATAAAAGGCTAAAACTGCTTGTAATGTGAAGAAAAAGGAAAAGAAAAACCCCACGATCCCACCTTCCTAATATAACCATTTTAATTTTTAGACATTAGCTTCTAGCTTTTGGTCATATGAGGCAGGGTATAACATTTATTCTACTTCTATTTAGTTTACCTTTATGTAATATTTTTTTACATCTTTAGTTTTCTTAACTTTTTTTTATCATAATAGTAATACACATTCTTTCTAGAAATGAGAAAAACCGAGGGGTGGGTGGTTGGGGGATGAGGTAACTGGGTGATGGGCATGAAGGGCACATGATGTAACGAGCACTGGGTCTTATATAAGACTGATGAATCACTGAACTCTACCTCTGAAACTAATAATACATTGTATGTTAATTAACTGAATTTAAATTTTAACAAATGGAAAAAAAAGAGAAGTGAGGAAAACCCAAGAGTTTCTAGAAAGACTAAAAAAATTGCCAATAGTCTCATCACTGAAAGCAGTTTAGATTTTTGTATACTCTATTTTTAATGAATAATTTTACATACTCATTTTTATTTTTTTTATTTTTAAGATTGTTATTTATTTGAGAGAGAGAGACACAGCGAGAGAGAGAACACAAGCAGGGGGCAGTGGGAGAGGGAGAAGCAGGCTTCCTGTGGAGCAGGGAGCCCGATTCAGGGCTCAATCCCAGGACCCTGGGACCATGACCTGAGCCGAAGGCAGACGCTTAACCACTGAGCCACCCAGGCACCCCTACATACTCATTTTTAGTGGTTAAACATTATCCTGTAATTTTGATAGGGTATAACTCAAATGATTTCCTACTTTTTGAACATTTACATTAGTTCCAGTTTTTTTGTTATCACATACAATGCTAAAATAAACATCTTGGTAACTTCAACTTTCTGCTGAAGCATTTTCCAAGGACAAATTGTCAGGAATGTGTATGAGTCAAAGGGTATGATCTTTTTTGTGAATCTTTTTTTTTTTTAAGATTTTATTTATTTATTTGAGAAAGAGAGAGCATGAGCAAGAGGAGGGGCAGAGGGAGAAGGAGAGGCAGACTCCCCACTGAGCATGGCCTGATGTGGGCTCCATCCCAGGGCCCTGAGATCAGGACCTGAGCCGAAATCAGAAATTTAACTGACTGAGTCACCCAGATGCCCTGAATCTTGTTCTATTTTATTTACTTCCTACTTTTATATAAAAGACTTGTACCAGTTACCAGCCAACTAAAAGTTAAGAACTGCTCTAACAATATACAACACTATCAAAAATGTATATAGTTTTTGCTAATTTAGTATGTACAATATATATCTGTCCAGGACTGCATTAATTGGCATTTCTTTGGTTACCAGGAAAGCTGAGTAGTTTTCTATTAAAACTGAGGCTTTAACTTGATTCAAACTCAAATTTATTTATATAGATTTACTTTATGTAAATTCACTGTTCAAAATCTAAATTTACTCAATAGACAAATAGGTAGAGTAGTAGTAGAGAAAATCAGAAAAGGGAGTGCAAAGAAAAGAGGGCTAATGAACTATGTACATGTCAATTGCCTGGTATTCAACAAACATAACAAATTTACCTTGTACATTTATTTGTCCTTTCCTTTCTACTACTAGATAATCTTCCTAAAGCATTGCTTTCCTTACTCCACTTCTCTATTTAAAACTCATCACCACTCCCCTACCAACCAGGTGAGAGTGAATCTTCACCACTTTAATCCATCCATAGTTCCCATAATTATACTCCATGAAAACCCTCCTTTACCACTATCCCTCTGGCCATGAATTTGTGCCATTTGAAATGGTCCTTCTCCAAAATGAGAGGCATTCTTAGATAGGTAGAGAAAGGAAAGCTCTTCATATGGGGAGAATTTTGATACCTATCAAAAATCTCGAGCCCCCTAGGAACTGAGGTCAACCTGTAAGAGCTCCAAGATGGATCTAAACCATGAGGAATTGCAATCAACCACAGAGAGGAGGTTGCTTTTAATTCCTTTCCAACACAAATAACAATGTGAAATTAATAGAAAGAAATGGGTTTTGGAGTCAGGCATACGTGGATGGATTCCTGGTTCAACCACTTACTGGTTATAAGACAACTTTCAAGTTATTTAATGTCATTTGTGCAATGGGGATAATCGACCTACCTTGTAGAATTGTTTTGAGAATCATGTGAAGAAATATAACCAAAATGTGCTAAGTACACTGCCTGGGACAAAACAAGACTCGATAAATGGTAGTTGAGTTAAAAAAAACAATGCCATATGTATCTCATCTTACATGTCCATCCTAATAAAATATAACAACCAAGACAAAACTACAAATAGTAACAAATCACAGCTACTTAGCACATAACTTTTTGCCAACTGCTGTGCCAAGTGCATTTTCTGTGTTATTTCATCTAATTTACAAAGAAGCCTGTGAAACAGATGCATCCCTATTTTACAGATGAGAAAATGAGGCTCAAAGAGGTCAAATAACTTGTTAGCCCAAGATTATACCAGTCACTAATCTGCATAGTGAGGAATTTTGATCTAGTTAAGTTCAAGCTTTTAATGACTATGCTATGCTGACAGCAAGATGAGGGCAAGAACAGCCCATCTCTTCATTTCTTCATTCCTTGAGGTTGGCATGGTCTCTGGTGAATAGTGACTTGATACATTTGTTGAATGGGTATATCACGGATTTTATTTCTCTTCGTGCAACTTGTTGCCCAGACTTTGGTCTACACTTCCAGGTGACTTCAGCCATTGCTCAGCAGTGTTCCACCAGGAAGGGAGGACCTATGCTTGCTTTGGATAGACACTGCTCTTAAGCCTTCCCTTTATTCTTTCCATTTCCTCCATCTTAATATTCCTGAAGTCCGACATATAAATTAATGAGACCATCATGAAGAAAAGGAAGGTGAAGTCCTCTTCTGACTCCACTTAAGTAGCCAAAACTGACCTCCTATAACCTCCTCTTGGGAGTTTATATTATGTTTAAGAAGAATCTTTAGGGACGCCTGGGTGGCTCAGTTGGTTAAAGTGTCTGCCTTCCCAGGGTCCTGGGATGGAGCCCCACGTCAGGCTCCCTGCTCAGCGGGGAGCCTGCTTCTCCTTCTCCTCCCCACTTGTGCTCTCTCTCTCTCTTGCTCACTATCTCAAATAAATAAATAAAATCTTTAAAAAAAAAAAAAAAGAATCTTTCTATTTCTCACACTTAGTGACTGAGTCACTCATTACCAGAAGCAAAGAAAGGCTTATTCCCCCTGCCTGACAAAACCTCACTATCATTTCCACTGTATAACAAAATAAATTGTAAAGGCTGGACTTTACCAGAAACTTTCATTTCTTCTCTTTCATCAGGATTTATCTTTTCTACTGCATGAGATACGGTACATTCCAAGACATCTGGAAATTCCTAGAACAAACAATGTTTACAGTAAATATAAAACTAATGTTTTTAATTAGCTATATGTTTTCTATTGTCCATAATGCCCTTTAGAAACAGAGAACCCATAAGATAACAGGGTTCTTTACCTGATGTCTGGATGGGCTTCATAAGGTTTGTAAAGCCCTGAAACAAAGGTAAAATGCTGTGTATCCATTTTCTGGGGAAAAGGATCTCATTTTGATCAGGTACTGAGAGGAATGCAAACAAATGGTGATGGAGGAGGCAGCATGCAAGGAGTTATAACCACTAACATAGTACATAATTTTACTTAAAAACGAAACCAATGAAAATATTTACCTATTCTGCATAAGGACATGTTAAAAGCTTCCTATATTAATCACAAACATTTTAAACCAAGACTTTTTTTCTGAGTGCAATAAAAAAGGCAATTCTAATGCATTGTAATTAATAATTTATGAGGAAAATGGTAAGATGTTAGTATATATAAATCAGAAACACATTAACTCACATTTACAAGATTAAAACAGTAAACAGTGAGGCCTTTCCCACAATTCTTGAGCATATTACAATGCCTGGCACATATCAAGGGCTTAGTGTTTGTCAGTCATGCATAAATGGAGGCAAATGGTCATTTCAGAGAAACAGAGACTGATAGAAGACATTAATCAACATCTGCCTAGCAGCTATGGAGTTTAAACTTGCAGAATGCCCACAGCAACAACTGTTTCCAGCGCATGTCCTTGTCCATAGTTTTAAAGTAGTCGATGTAATTTGTTATGAGCCTTTGGCTGAGTTGGATTCCAAAGAGTGGTTTGCAGACAGGTGGTCTGTATATTAACATTTATGATAAGTCATTTATTAACATTTAATGAAACACCCAGTGTTTCCCTCAAAACTGACATTAAAATAATTATTTCTAGTGACTGTATTATTATGATACTCTACCGAAGCAATTTAACAACCAAAACTGTTAAATAGTCATTTCTTTATTAGACCAAATATAAACTGGAACACAGTGAAGAAAGTGTGATGGGAATTAAGCACAGAGAATCCCGGTATCTAGTCTAGTTGAAGAGTTGGTGACACATCCTGGATTTTCTGTTTTATGCTTAAGCATACTGGGTCAGACAGCCATCTAAGTAAATCAGCCACAGGGAATTTTGTGCTAATTGCCTATTTGATTTCCCTGTCAAAACTGGGGAAATTAATTTCCTGCTTACTGCACTTCCCTTTTGACCTACATGATTTCTTCATCCACATTTTACTCACCCTGACCAAATCAGGGCTGATTTGGGAGCTCCACTCATTCAAGGTCTTTTGGATACAATCTCGAAGCTGTAAAAGGAATGCATTTTGAAACTGTTAATCAAACTCTATACACTTTTCTGTACTTCTACAATAAGAATATATTAGTTTGGTAAGTTGGAAAAAGAAGATGTGAATAGGAAAAACCAAAATTTTAGTTCTACAAGGTTTTTGTTTTCTTCGACGAAGACAAGTTTAGATCTGTTTTTATCCTTTTTTATAAAATGTTTTATTTATTCATGAGAATGAGAGAGAGAGAGAGAGGCAGAGGCAGAGGGAGAAGCAGGCTCCCTATCCAGCAGAGAGCCCGATGCGGGACTCGATCCCAGGACCCTGGGCTCATGACCTGAGCCGAAGGCAGACGCTTAACCATCTGAGCCACCCAGGTGCCCCTAGATCTGTTTTTATCTTAATCTTCAAATGTTGATGTAATACAGTAATCTATTTTTAAAGTGTCTTTGTACCAGTGAAAGTTTAAGTAAGCCTTTGAGACATAAAAGCATTCACAACGAAACAAATAAAATTTTTCAAGAATAAGGTTTATAAACAGAGGAACGTGAGTTCAAGCCCAGGGAGCCTGACTAAAATTAGTATTAACCACTATGAGATAATCCTCAAAGACAAATAAATGATTGTCTAAGTGTGGCCCGAGGAACTCCATTATTCACCTGTGGTGTTCATTAAAAATTCCAGTTTCTGAGCCCCATCCTAGACCTGCTGAATCTAAGGGCGGCATAATTTGCATTTTAACAAGCATCCCAAGAAATCAACATGTAAAGTCTGAGAACTACCACAGTCCTATCTTACATAAGTCAACTTGCATAATGTCAGCCCATATGTCATTTCCTACCACTTAGGTATACCTCCAACCCGTCTTCAATGTTTTCTTATACAAACAAATAAAACTTGTTTACACTAACATTACAACATATGTTGTAAATCCATTAAACTGTTCATGCAACTTTCATCCCTTATGTCGGTGTATTTCAAACTTGTCTGATAGAGCTCCAAAGTAAGACCTACATACATTCACATATAGGGTAAGGACCTAAATAAATAGAACAAAAAATTTATAAAATGGTATGTTCACTACATGCTAGGCACTCTGATGGCTTCTATTCTATTAATTAGAAAAAAACCATGCTGTTCTATGGCTCACCAAACTGACTTATGACCACTAATGGGCAACACTAGCAATATGAAATCACTACCTTATAAACATCCAAGGACACAGTGCTTTGCATTCTGTGGGCAATCAATGAAAAAATAAATGAGTAACTGGGATCAAGTCCCTAAACTGCAAAAGCACTTTCTTAATAGCAATAACACAGACTAAACTTCGGAACTCACTGATCTATGATTGCTTATGATAAAAACTGACACAGCACTTTACTGCTTTTATCTTACTACAGGTAATTACAAGGGACAACTGGTTTATCAATTTAAGAGCTCAGAGTCAGCTACATTAAGCTTCATAAGCCACAACAAAAACTTATGTGATGTCCACAATAATCCACATGAATTCAATCTACAAGGTCTCTATCTTCATGGAAAATATATTTATAATCAAATTTAAGATATTAAATAAAAATTAGTTGATAATTATTCCAGACAGAATTACAAGTCAATATTCTTTTCAAAAATGGGAAAAGTTAGAGCAGCAGGACTAAAAGTTAACAATTCTATCAGGAGTGCTTTGGCTCAAATCATGGGAGAATATTAAGAAATTGTCCTCTGGGGGTGCCTGGGTGGCTCAGTTGTTGGGTGGCTGCCTTAGGCTCGGGTCGTGGTCCCAGGGTCCTGGGATCGGGCCCCACATCGGGCACCCTGCTCGGCGGGGAGTCTGCTTCTCCCTCTGCCGCTCCCCCTGCTTGTGTTCCCTCTCTCGCTGTGTCTCTCTCTGTCAAATAAATAAATAAAATCTTAAAAAAAAAAGAAATTTTCCTCTGGAAGGATAGCTCACTTGCATACTTAAGGCTTTCCTGATAAAAAGCCCAATTCAGGAAGGTAAGTATATTTTCAGAGTATTCACCTCCTTCTTGAAACCACTTAATTAATCTCGGATTCTATAAAACGTCAGGACAAATCACAGAACAGTCAATGTTACAATGAGAAATTCATTGACTGTATCACAAACCTAATGATTTCTAATCTTTTATATATTATCTATATTGACTGAACATTAACCTTGTATTTTGTTCTCAGTTCTCTTCATTTTTATCATATACGCATAGGATCACTGAAGTATCATCATAATGCAGTGTATCATTAGACCTGGAGCCATATAAGAGTTTTACATATACTACATGATTCATCTGGCCAAATACTCTTAAAACAAAGAACTGAGCAAAACAGTCCTATAACGGCTCATTTAAAAAACAAGATTTGATTTCATAAAGTTCTAGTGAAAAAATTTTTTAAAAAGATAATGGAATTTAAAAAAACATACACATTGGAACTAGAAGAGACCTTTTAGGAAACCGAACTCTCTACTTAATGTGTAAATTTTCTTAATAATGAGTGATTTATTCAGTTTCTTTATTCTACAAGCCTAAACCATTTCAAGTAGCATATCCCAATTTGGAGCTCTGTTTGTTACAAAGTTTTGTTTTGTTTTGTTTTACAGGGAAACAAAACATGTCTCTCCTTAACTAAACTGTCCTATTTTCCTACAATATGCTGCCCTATTTTCAAGTTTTCCTCAAATGTTTTCTAGCTTATTTTGTCCTTCTTATGTAGCAGCCCCCTCCCCCCCCGCAAAACAAACTAGAATTAGTCCTTTGAACAATGTTTTTCAAACTGTGGAGTGTGACTCATTACATTAAGAAACAGTTTTAAAAAATTAAAATAGGATAGAAAAAATGATAATACACAATATACACTAAAAGTTAATATCTCCATTAAACCTTTGAGATATATTTTTAACAGCTTTATTGAAGTATAATTTACGCACAAAATTCACTTATTTTAAGTGCACAATTCAATGCTTTCTAGAGAGCTTTTTGTAAAGAGTTTTACAGAGCTCTGCAGCCATCACCACAATCCAATTTTAGAACACCTTCATGTGCCCACTGGCCGTCACTACCCATTCTTACCCCAGCCCAAGGCAACCACTCATCCTGCTTTCTGTCCTTATGGACTATGAACTAGACTGCAAGGTAAAATTTCTTACTGGGTTTGCCAAAGTCAAAAAACTTCGAAGGCCACTACTTTAAAGTGTGTTGTAGTGAAACAAGAGAGCAAAAATTTCGCCCAATATTGTCAATACACTTGGAAAATGGTGTACTGAACCCAGCAGCTCTGGGAGGAAATTGAAAGAATAGAACTAAATACAGAAATATTTATTTGGGGGGAGAAATAGTCTAAGTGGGGTGGTTTAAACAAAAAAGGCATACAAACTGAGATGGATGGAACCTGGTCACAGAATATGGTACAGATTTTGGTTCCTATTAAAGTTACAACTAAGGGTTCTCATCTGATGGGTGCTCACAGGCCCGGAGCATACTCAGAGGGACGCCATGTGCTCCTGCATAGTGTATCATCAACGTCTCATATAAAAGAGCAAAAACTGCTTAGGAGTACAGCTGGTATCATAATATGGCATAGAACAGTTTTTCTTTTAATCAAGATTTGTTTAAAGTCTTTGATAAAAAGGGGCGCCTGGGTGGCTCAGTCGGTTAAGCGACTGCCTTGAGCTCAGGTCATGATCCCAGGGTCCTGGGATGGAGCCCTGCATCGGGCTCCCTGCTCAGCGGAAGGCCTGCTTCTCCCTCTGCCTCTGCTTGCCGCTCTGCCTACTTGTGCTCTATCAAATAGATAAATTCTTAAAAAAAAAATAAAATCTTGATAAAAAGGGAGATAAATGCCTCCATGATGAGCGTTGTCCTATATTCTCTCTTCTAATTCTCACAGTGAGCCGATGAAGACCGTTACCATTACTCAGCTTCACAGTTGTGTAAACAGACTCAGGGAAGGTAACTTTCCCAAAGTCACACAGCTCCTAAATTAAAGGTTTGTTTTTATTCACTGTTATTTTTCGGTACCAAAACCGTCTTATACCGCCTATATGCCTCCGCAATTCACTGGGCACCCTGACTCTCCACTCAGGAATGGCCAGCTGCGGACCGAGTATGTATCGCATGGATAATTCCAGATTAATCTCTGCCACCTCAAACTAGTGATTAGTCTTCAGGCAAATACACTGAGGCAGATTAATCTTCAGCAAGAAAAACGCATACCTCATTCCAAAGCCGAATTTGAGCGTGGAGTCCTGTGCCGCACAGCAACAGAGAAACTACTGTCAACAGCCTCAGAGCTAAGTGAACTATTACTACTACCTTCACCTGAATCCTGGAAAAGCGAATCTCTTATTAAACTATGTCTTCACCCGGCCGCGGTGTGGGGGGAAGGGGGGCCAGAGGCTGGGGTAGGCTGGGAAGGAGGTGCTGGTCTTCCCTGCACCCCCTGACCCCCGCAAGTGGGGTCCGGCGCGTTCGAGAGGTCGGCTGTCGGCCGGGAGCACTGACGGAGACGTCCCTCGGGATGATGCTGCACCTGCCAAGTGTTTGAAGGCGCGCGGCCCCCAGCTGCAGGTTTAGGAGGCGACGTCGCAACCCCAGCGGCCCCAGCCTCCCCGCGCCGGTGGAGCCCAGGTGCGCGCCTCACCCCGCGCCCCGAGCCCGCCCGCCCGCCTGCCTGCCCCTCCGGGCGCTGCTTCCCTTTGGGAGCCGCCCGACCCCGCGGCCTGCCCCGGGAGCCCCGCGTCTCTCACCTCCTCGCTGTGCGTGGACGGGCACTTCTTCCGCAGGCGACCCCAGTTCAGCAGGTTCCCGGTCTGCAGGTGCAGGGTGCGGGCCCGCGCCAGCAGCGCCCCGGCCGCGCGGCTGTCGGTGCCCATGGCAGCGGCCGACGGAGGGGGGCCAGGCGGCGACGGGGCCGCAGGCGAGGGAGGCCGCCCTGCAGGACGCGGTGCCCGAGGCCGCAGAGCCGAGCGCGAGGCTGGCCGCCCCACGCGGCGGGACCTCAGCCTGCGCTCGGGACCTCTGGAGGCCGGACTGGCGGAGCTGCGGCCCGGGAAGGACGCGCTGGCCGCGGCGGCTGCTGCTGCTACTGCGGCCGCCGCCGGAGAGTTGACTCCCAACTGAAGGGACCGTTTCCTGGAAGACAATGACTAAGCAGAAATCGCGGCTAAGAAAGTGCTTGGTAACCGTTACCCGTCCCGCCGCCGGGCCGGGCGGGGCGGGGCGGGGCGGCGAGGGAGCTGCGGGACGCCCGCCCGCGGGTGACTGGCCCTTGGCCTGCGGCGGGCGTGGCGCCGGGCGGCGGGCGGTCGCGCGGCGGAGAATGCGCGGGGCGCGCGGGGCGGGGCGGCGTGGGACCCGGCGCTCGGCAGGGCGCCCCCTGCCGGTCAGAGGACGGTGCGCCGGCCAGTGCCCCCTCCGCCTAGCGTCGCCGGCGGCGCTCGCAGTCTCGCCTCCCAGCCAATGGGCGGTCGCGCTGATGATTTCCTTCCACACCTCTTTCAAAAGACAGCGAAAGCCGCTACCAAGGCTTTGAAATACTAGCTGGTTTTAGTTCTCAAAAGCGGGTGTTAAGGCAAAGTGCCCTTTCGTTGCTTTTTTACCCTCTTAGTTCATTTTCCTTCTCAAGGTCTTTCTCTCCCCCCTCCCCCCCGAACTGCGCGTTTTTTTCCGTGTTCATTGATTACAGGACTTACACTATTTGCTGGACAGTGTGTGGAGTCAATGAGTAAGACTTAATCTTTGCCTTAAAACTCTAGTTCCAAAAAAAGGCCTAAGCATATGAAAGAGTATCTTAGGGCAGTTTCCAAATGAGTTCAGATTAAAGGGAACACTTCATCCGGTGAGATCAGGGAAGATTTTATCTGCCATTCCCTTAGAGATGGTTGTGATTCTTTACTCCTATTAAATTTCATATATGGTAGACTGGGTATGAATCTCAAATTGAACATTTATTGAGCTTTCCTCAAGAAACTTTTACCTTTGTTAAAAGAAATCAGATATATTAAAAGGCAAAATGCTATTATAAAGGATAAATTTCAGTTGGTAAGAATTCAGGGTGAAGTGAAAAAGAAGCTCCTTCTAGTAGGTGGTTAGAGATTGAGCCTGATTTTGAGTGAATATTTGTTGGCTGAATGAAGGTAAGAATTCTTTGAAGAGAGTATGCCAGAAGCAGGAACAAGCATGGGGTATTTTAATGTAAATATTTGATCTTTATGCTGAATTTTCTGTGGCATTATTTTTTTGACTTGTATATTCTCTAATACCACGGAAATAATTCGTGATTAAAATTTAGAGGTTGGGGCCGCCTGAGTGGCTTAGTAGTTAAGCGTCTGCCTTCCAATCAGGTCATGATCCCAGGGTCCTGGGACTGAGCCCCACATCGATGGGGCTCCTGCTCAGCGGGAAGCCTGCTTCTCCCTCTCCCACTCCCCCTGCTTGTGTTCCCTCTCTCGCTGTCTCTCTGTCAAATAAAATCTTTAATAAAAAATTAGAAGTTGTACCTCCTAAAGTATTAGACCTGCTTTCTTGCTGGGAATTTATATAGCATATTGGTCATGGACATAAAGCTGTGTGGCTTGAAAACCTGACTTTACCAGGTACTGGCTATTTTAACTTAGGTCACTTAGTCTGTTTTGCTTTCTCTAATCTGGGCCAGATGATAGTTTAAACCATACGAAATTGCTGATAATTGACCATTTTGACCTACAGAAATGGCTAGGTGCCGTGGTTCCACCTGATATAGTATCTACCACACTGAGTAGGATTGAGGAATTAGCTTACCAAAAGCCCTTAGTAGAGTACTTGGATCATGGTAAAGAGAGCTCCTATTATTAATGCCTCCGCTCTTTCCCCCTTACAATCCAGTTCTCATAACATTGGCAAATTCATGACATGAAATCACAGCACCATTGTGTTATGTTTTTAAAATTCACATTATGTAAACTGATTTAGTCTTCATAGCAATTCAGATAAATAACATTGAAAATCTCACTATCAGTAAGTGTTGGGGCCTCAATCAAAACCTAGATCGCTTATTTTCAAACTCCTTACTCTTGCATGCTACAATTTACTTTTAACACAAAAAGTGTATTTATTGAGGTGATTTTAATTCTTGAATGTGTGTGTCATGATTTATATGCTTTTTATGCCTGTACAGCTTTTTTTTTAAAACTATATATTATACTTACTGATACTCTTGTCATAGGTCCATTGTTTTGAGAAAGGGAAACATAATTTTCTAAATTTGTTTATTTGGTGACAAAAACAAAAAAGTGAAAAATCAGAGAGCTTTATTGTATACAGTTATTTTGAAGGAATCTTACCTATAGAGGAGGAGTAATATTGCTGACATTTCCATCTTTGGGAATAGTGTGATTTAGGTTTTACGTGCTTTAAAATTCTTCAGCAAATGTTTGTAAATATAAAAGTCACTAACATCCACCGCTCTTTTTTTCATTCTCTTTGACCTCTCCAGGATCTAATACTACTGTCCATGCTTCCCTTTGAGAACCACTCTCCTCAACTGGCTTATAATATGCTGCACCCTGGTTTCCTCAATATATTTGATCACAGAACAAAAAAATCATAATGAACTGTTGGAAACCCAACAGGAGCTCATGAGCTGTAAGTGTTTAAATTTAAAGCAAACAGCAAAAATGGTCTCATGGATGAATTATTACAGGAAGTGATCACATTTTTATTCATAGTCTGTTTCACTTTATACAAGAATAAACAAAATGTGGGAACTAAAATTCATTTTACCTTATTAAGGGATCACCTGGTGCATCTTATTCTTAATACGGTAAAATGGATTTAAATTATCAAATTTTGGTTTATTATTTTATACAATTGATTTTAAATTTAATAATACATTATTATATGATTCTTCATAACAGAAAATATAGTACATAGATGTTTATCTCATCCATATTAAAAACAACCTAATCCTCCATTATATGAATATCTATAATTTATTTAGATAAATTATCTCTGTATTTAATGGCCAGGTAGGTTGCTTTTAGGCTTTTGCTAGAATAAACACTATGGCCATACACATTCTTAGTACTTGTCTATTTGTACATGGGGGAACATTTTTCTCCAATAACTGCATGTAACGTGTTACTATCTTCAAGGGTGTACATATTTAATAGCTACTGCTGAACCAATTTACACGCAAATCTAAATTGTGTAAGACTACCTATTTCCTCCCACAATCACTAACACTAGATATTATCTGTCTCTTCAGTTTTTGCCAAGGTGGTGGGTAAGTGTATCTCGTTATTCTTTGATTACTGGTAAGATTTCATTGTTTTATGATATATTGTGATCATACTCTATGTGATTCTTCATGCCTTTAAAATTAATACTGTATCATAAGCATTTTTCTCAGGTTATTATACTGAATTATTTTCCAGTCTCTGTTGACACACAGACAAGAACATAGCTAATTCTTGTCAATTTTTTTTGGCCTTAAAACATGTTTAATCAAGGCGGCTAGCATGTGTCTGTTGCCAGTATGTAACCCCTGGAGATGAACAGGCTTTTAGCAAGAGGTAATTTAGACATGTTTAAAAAAATTTCCAAGCCAAGCTTTTTCTCTCTTGGTTCCTGTTTCTGTAGCAATTCCAATGGGGTGTGTTGGACAACATTCCAGGAAGGGCTAGAGGCTGTAGTTCAGTTACCCAGGTGGTGGTTTGCCTGTGGGACCCAAACTGTGGTCGGCCTCACTGCTGTAGGAACTCCATGCTACATTGTTTCATAATGTGCTCAGTGGCAGAAATCTTCCACTGGCACTCAATCCCCAAATTCCTTCTAAGGTGCCTTCCTGTGTGACAGAGCCTGGAAGCTAAACACAGTATTTCTCAGCATCCCTTGCAGGTCTCCTTCCAGGTAAAAATTAGGTTATGTCAATTCCATGTGCTAGTTTTAGATTTCAAAGGCAGAAATGTGTTGGAGAGCATCTTCCTGCATCTTCAGCTGTTGAGTTTTGCAACAGCCACACTCTGATGTCCTATCCCCAGCTTTACAGGTGTCAGGAGGCAGTTTCGGCCACTTACTGATCCCTAGATTAAAGCAAGAGTAATTCAATGGCAGTCTTCTGATGGCTCCCCTTTCTTATTATGACACAGGATGAGCTCTCCTGGAAGGACACTTAGTTCAGCAGTGTCGTTCTCAGAGTTATTCCTAGAGGCCCAGTCCAGAGCTTGTTTGTCCAACCTTCAGCTTTGTAAGCATCTAACTCCCTGTAGGAAATATCTTCTGCTTAAAATAGAGTGGTTTCTGTTCCTGCAGTTGAACCCAGGCTGATACCATTTCTGTTCTTATAATCACATTTGAACTGTATTACTACATTGAAAACGTAAAATAAAATTTTCTCATCTCTGATAAACATCATTCTGTAATTTTTAAGTGTCCTTTGTTATAAAAGTTTACACATGTGGGCAAGGTGCCAACTTTGTGTACTGAAAGAGCAGCTATAAGTACAACACACACATATTTTTTTTTAAGATTTTATTTATTTATTGGGCACCTGGGTGGCTCAGTCGGTTAAGCGACTGCCTTTGGCTCAGGTCATGATCCTGGAGTCCTGGGATCGAGTCCCGCATTGGGCTCGCTGCTCGGCAGGGAGTCTGCTTCTCCCTCTGACCCTCCCCTCTCTCATGTGCTCTCTCTCTCTCATTCTTTCTCTCAAATAAATAAATAAAATCTTAAAAAAAAAGATTTTATGTATTTATTTATTTGACCTAGAGTGAGAGAACACAAGCAGGGGGAGGGGCAGAGGCAGGAGGAGAAGCAGGCTCTCCACTGAGCAGGGAGCCCGACTCGGGGCTCGATCCCAGGACCCTGAGATCATGACCTGAGCCGAAGGCAGACGCTTAACCGACTGAGCCACCCAGGCACCGCTATGACACACATATTTTAAATATGTTTTTATATAAAAATATGATAGCAAAGTTCTAGGAAGATTAAAAATAGGGAAAAACTCATAATTCTGATGTGCATTTTGAGGATTATATTCATAGATAGATGAACGATAGATGATGGCTAGCCCGAGAAACCATCTGGTAGAATTGTTAAGAGAGCAAGAACGTTGTTATCAGGTAACTTTAGTTCAAAGCCAGGCTCCAATGCTGGGCAGCAGCAGAGGTTTGGGTAAGTTTTGAATTCTCTCTAAGCCTCAGTTTTCTCATCCAGAAAATTGGGCTAACACTAGCACTCAATTCATACAGTTGTTATGTAAATGAGAGAGGATATGTAAA